ACTTTCTTTTTTACCTTATTCTTTCTTACTTACCCCCAAACTGTAATGGAAGTGTATCACAGTTTCCACAAACATATGAAGCGGCACCACAACTGCTTTCAACCTTAGCAATATTTTTTTTCCAGCAGCAAATCCTCATATTAGAATGATTTCTGAAGGATCACGTGACACTGAAAACTGGAGTAATGATGCTGAACATTCAGCTTTGCATCACAGGAATAAATTACATTTTAAAATACATTCACTTTTAAAACAGTTCTTTTAAATTGTAATAATATTTCACAATATTCCTGTATTTTCGATCAAATAAATGCAGCCTTGCTGAGCAGAAGAGACTTCTTTAAAAAAAAAAAAAAAATCATAAAACCCAAAAATCCAAACTTTTGAGCGCTAGTGTAATTCTGACTGACTCATTTGTCCCTGAATGTCAGACTGGTTGTCCTCTTGATAGGCATGTGTGATCCAGTGTAAGAATCTGTGATGTAATCTAGTCCAGTCTCGTGGTGTAATCTAGTTGTGCAGCTTGACTGTGTCTTTGTTTAGACATTTGAAAGCAGTAAACACAGAAGTCATGTTTATTTGATGCTGACAGCGCTGAGTTAGTTGATCTGCTTGTGCTGGATTACTCACTAGTGTCTGATCACTTCTACTGATGACCTTGTGTGTTAGTGAAAGTTCGTAAAGAAATCTGTGAATAAGCGGTGTCTTTGTGCACAAGTGTTTTCCAGCTAATGCAGGTGGTTAAGGTGTGGAATACAGAATAACTGCTGACAGGACAGAAACTGGAATATCGGAATATTTACCCCTCTTTCTCCCTCTTAAATAATGCAGACGTTATAGGTGATTGCCCTGTAGAGGTCTGGTAATGAATGGCCCTTGTCCACTTTCAGGTCCTTTGCCAGTTCTGTGGTTATTTATTTCGAGAGTTTAACAGCGTGACCTCAAAACACACACTCACCTGTGCACACACACATATACCTGTGTTAATATATATAGAGAGAGTGCATTATATATATATATATATACAGTGCTAAAAAGGTGCATTGTTTCTGCCGATTATAGGGGTCTATAATTAGATCTAAATCAGGACAAGGAGAAAGGCCACTCACACAGACTTTTATTATGGAGAGACTCAAACTCCCCACAGGGGTCCGGTGCCCATATGTGGGCCAGAAACTTCTACATGCATCTTTCCTCCAGTGAATATATATATATATATATATATTAAATAAACAATATAAAAACATTTAACCCGGGAGGAATTAAAAATGCACAAAAAAGCTAATATACATAAATAACTTGAACAGCTTTCAAATACGTCACTCACTTAAAAACTTATTATT